GAATGGACAGCCGCCAAAATTTGAATTCATATGGCGCGTGCGTGGGAATGGCCAGAACTTCCTTACAACCCAATAATAATCGAGAAAAACAACCAATGAGAAGGGTGTGGTCCACCGTTGAGCCGCGTTGTCCCACGCGACCAAAAAACCGTGGTTCACCGTTGAGCCGCGTTGTCGTCAAGGGGTTAAATACCACTTGCAACAGTTCATTCTTATACAAGCTCCTTCATGAGTAAAACTAAGTTTCTCGATTTTAACTTGAAGATGATTGAAGATTGAACCATCACAATAGGAACAGAGACATGACCCCTGACTCGGCTTCCATCGTTTTCGAGTGTTGTAGAGGCTTTTACAAACTGAAGTATTGTAAACCCTCTATATTCACTTCGAAAATAAGAAGGCTTATAGCCCCTGCCATAGAGATCTAGCGATTTCCTCACACCTAACTGTCGTATTGCTGTCATGTACTGATGTCATGATTCCAAAATCGGAAACCATGTCTGGACTTATGATCTCACAAGGCAAAAAAAACATGTGTTTGTTTTTGTTGGAATGAAACAATGTAAATTGGTCCACTCAACTAATGGAATTCTGGAAAAGCGAGATAAATCGAGTGAGTATGGAGGCCAAAATCTATATGAATCCAGTCCCATTCGTCAACTTATCCTTCTCGTCATCCCACATACACTAATCTCGTAACTGCGATCCACCTTGCAATATCATTTCTTCATTTAATAGGCTTATTTGAACGGCTTCATCGCATGGGCCTCATTTAAAAAAAAATAAAAAATTTTTCACTGAGCAGAGCGCTCACTGTTATCGAACAGGACCCATTTCTCATCACACGTTCATGTACCTCCATTCCTCCACTGTTCCTTTTCTTCCTACCCGAGGTAGGCTCATGCCTTGGTCCTGATTTTTGTTAAGCACCTGGATTTCTTCTGTCCAGCAAAATGCTTGAGGTGAATCACGTCGACCGTGTTACCTTGCTCGGGGTGTCGATATTAGTTCCGTTAACGAAAGCAACGGTAGATGGAAAAGGAGTGAATCAAAGTGGCTGCTCTTCACTTAGTTCCCGCATCCTTATCTATTGTCAGGGCTTTAGGAAACGGAAGAAAGTAAGTGACACTGACAAGACAAACAATGCTCCCTTTAAATGAGTATGGATTATTACGGTGCCTTGGATAGGAATGAGTACGGTCGCATTTTCATGAGCGAAAATAAGCTGTCATCCGCTGATTGTTTTGCTTTGTTCACGTACACGATAGCGTGCAGAGGAGTGATGGCTCCTTGTCATGCATTTTTGCTATCATACGATGGATGCCGTGTACTTCACAAATTGATGCAAGGCGAGGTCACATGCGCATTCAATAACCTTACTCTTCAATTTATGTTGTAGACTTTTTTGTCATCTCAAAAATCCATCTTCGGAGCAATATTCGTGACTGTTTTATGTGCATGAGTATTACCTCAGAAAGCTCACGATTTTTTTTATGCAGGCATAAATATAGGCGTAACTAGCGGTGCCGGTGATACTCCAGCGGAACTCGATCGACAGACGACAACCATACCAACCACTTTACATGCTTATATCTGACCATTTGAATCGATAATTAATATGACATCTATGAGTATTCATTTAAGACGTTCAATTTCAACAATACTATCAATTTACATTGGTGTTCTATTGTACTGTCTGAATATGGCGTGACTAACATAGAATTTGTTATTTTCATAGTTTAAGTCATCCTCGAATAAATGTATACTTTGCTAGGCAAAAGTTCATACGAAAGTCACACGAGTTTCATACCTGCACTAATACATATTAATGCGATTGGTTTATTGCCTCGTTGCTACATCGAAAATTATCATTGACACAGGTTCACCAGCGATAAAATGGCATGTCGTTTCTTGATTGGTATGAATCGTAGTCTCGCCAAATTTGGTGATTTGGTCACAACCTATGGTGGATGCGTGTTCCTGGTCAGTGATTTCCTTTTTTTTATTCGCGATAAGTTAGTGATTGTTGAGTGATACATGCTTCGATCAGTCCTCGTCGTAAGGTTGTCGGTTCATTTATTCGTGCTGTACCGTGACTGTACCTCCATTCCTCCACTGTTCCTTTTCTTCCTACCCGAGGTAGGCTCATGCCTTGGTCCTGATTTTTGTTAAGCACCTGGATTTCTTCTGTCCAGCAAAATGCTTGAGGTGAATCACGTCGAAATTGAATTGACTTTCTTTTGCGAGTATGCTAGGAATCTTACTAATCTTGTTGGCCTATTCATTGGTTCTTAAAATGTCTTTTTGTTTAAGGTGTTCATGCTCTTGTCCGTTTTTTATGTCGGACTGAGATTGTCTTGCTATTCGACCGAACAAGCTGACCACTGTGACCTTATTGCAAATTTTGGAGTAGTAGTTGCTTTAGAAATAATAATGAATCTCGTGCTGTTTCAGTATTACTCGCGGTATGGTTTGCAATAGTTTTGTTGCCTAGCTTCTTTTTGAAGCCTAGACCACGACTTTTCAGAAATAATTGCGTATCTCACTGGCAGCGACAAGCTTGCATAGCTGGTTTGTGTAGAACCGCAATAAGTATCGGTATGCACTTATGTTTTCAACCCAGAAATCGGCTTTCTACTAGGTGTTTCAGCCCATGGTTAATTGACGCTTGAGAAAGTTAGCTCAAATTCGGTACTTGTCCACTGTCCAATAAAGGGCGTAGTGGTGACAATATTAAACAGTAGTTCTTTTTTTCTCGATACTTTTACAACATACGAGCACGATGTTACGCTGGGCCATCTGCACTTTTTGCGTGCACTGTTCTTACCTGATACTCTTCCTGACGTTTATCTTACATTTATAAAATTTATGGTTTTCTTCTATCCCACCTGTTTTTCGCTTCCAAAATGATTCTTAGCGATAATTTAGATGAGCTCGCATGGTTGGAAGAAGACGAGGATGAATTTGGTCCAGCCAATTTTTCAAAGTTTTGCAATGTTTGCAATCGAGATGCTCCTATTCGGTGAGCCGAATAGCTCATGAAGTTCTGTTACTAATCTTTACAGTTGGTGTTATGTGGTAAGTTGGATGCAGTGAGAGCAGGAGCGGGTTTATGCTTTTTTACAGGAGTCACCACTGCCCCTTTTGTAAAATTTGTGTTTTACGGAAGGATCATCATTGCTTCATCACTGGTGCTTGTGTGGGTCTTGGAAATCAAGTATGTTCAGAGAAAGCGCTATTTGTTTTTGACGTCTTCAATATGCAAGAACAAAAAAAACGGCTGTGTCATCATACCACGTCTGTCATCGGATCTTGTTTGCAGCGCTATTTCATCACTTTTCTTTTTTGGTGTTGTATAGGACTGGTAGTTGGGGCACGGTACACCGCAGTGTACCTATACCAAACCTCGTCCGAAAGGTATGCCAACTCCCCTGTTCATAATATTTTCTCTTTTGGGATTCCTTGTTACAGTTCTCCGCTAGGGTTCATATACTGCATCGGTCCAGTGGCGGTTATACGATGGATCATTGGTTATACCGGTTTTCTTCACGCTTTCGTGTGCACAGTATTTTCTTTCATGATTGCCAGCATAGTAGCAGCCGGAGCATTTTTCGTGATGCAGGTAATATTCGAAGAAGAGCCTTTTCTACGTACAGGAAGAATCTTATTAGCGAATCGCTTGTTACAGATTTATTACACGAGTTATGGGTATACAATGTACGAGTATCATAGCAGCGTAAGAGACGTGTTCGACGGTGATGGGCAAGTCATTCTTTCGAAACTAGCCATATCAGCTCACTGAAAAACATCCCAGAGACGCTTTTCATAGATAACTCAGGATTTTCTAAATCATTTAAGTTTTGGTCATTTCAAATGGCGAAGTTTTCGGAAGTGCTTCTGCATCCTCGGGAGAGTGGCCCCAGTAAACTCCTGCATGAACGCTGAAAAACTTGGACGAGCAGTGTGATCGAGAGGAAGTGGTCCCTTTCTATACTTGGCAGTGTTGATAGTTTTCGAACTCTGTGTGACTACTACATAGCAAAGAAATTTAACTTCTTCCTCGTCTTCTTTACCATTTATACCACGACCCATTGTTCACATGCAACCTTGTGAGATCGGTTTTCCGTCACTGTGGATAAGCGGATGTGGTATTTTGTACCCAAACGGCATGCCGCTCTCGCCGCGTCCCATCGAACACAGCTGCGCACTGTGAAGGGACGATTCAATACCTAGTGGATGATTACGGTAATTGCCGCAGAACCACTAAGGACGGAATTCGGGTACATAAGCCCCTACCTACGAAGTAGTTGGATGCATGGAAATAGTCAGTTGGTGGATATTTTGCTTTACATTGACGTGAGAATTGCCATTGCAGGCAGAAATTTCGAAAAGCTTCCCTGTTGCTTGGAGTTGCATCACCTGTATCACCTGTCGCCCCGTTGATCATCGACTTCCTCGAGCGGGCGCCAGTAACGTCTCCATTCGTCCCTGTCACAAGCCAGAGTGGTCCAGTGAATCGTTCTCGCTTCAGGGACACGAGGTTCAACATTCCTTTCGTTCAGAGCTTTCGTGAAGAAGTCTGACCATCTCGTTGGCGGCCTTCCTGGAGTTCGTTTGATGTCCCGAGGGATCCAGTCAGTAACCGCCCTGGTCCAACGGTCATCACTATAACGCATAACGTGTCCGGCCCACCTGATCTTCGATTTCTTGGCGTAATCAACGGCATCCCTGATCTTCGTTCGGTGACGGAGCTCGGAACTCCGGATTCCCTTCTGCACTTGCGTGTATAGGGAAATTCCGAGCATCGTCCTTTCCAAAGCGCGTTGAATAACGCTGACAGCATGCTCATCCTGCTTTCGTAGAG